TTCTGGAGGTGCTATAGCTGCAACCAAAATGACCAGGGGTGAGACTTGGATCTTGATTCTGTTTCAGGACAAGCCTCAACTCCAACTTTGAATTTTGAACCATAAGGGATTATATAGTTAATCTCTACAAGTCTCTGCCCGGAATATGTGCAACAGCTGAATGAAAATTGCGCAGGCATCAAAGCGTTGATGTCTGCCTATTGCACAAACAGTCTCTCTCTATATATATATGTATATATATATACACAACTGGAAATACAGAAATGCAGCATCAAATCTGATATGATGCTTCGAAACCTGCAAGGGTGTTGCTGTGCAGAAAACTGAAGGACTGGCAGGTGTGAAACCCTGCTGAGTTCCTGTGTCTTTAAACGACAGGCCGGCAGCAGCCGAGGGCACAGGGAGCTTCAGTAAAGCTGCCATAGCTTGCAAGGATGGCTTGCTGACGCAAGCTCCTGGGCTCAGGAATTGGAGCTTTACAAACGAACAAATTTGATCACTGTGCACATCCACGCACTAGAAAGAGCACGATAAAATCACGCTGACACCTCGCCAAGTCTCAAACGATGGCTGAACTGGCAGCCTTCTGCCCCTTGGGTGCCCCAGGCCTCAGGTCATCGCTGTAAAGATCATCATCTTCATCCTGCGCAGGATTTAACTTCCAGAGTTGGACCCAAGTTTTGCAAGGCACTTCGGCACTCAGTCGGTCCGTGAGCTCTTCTTGCACTCGCGGGTCAGCAGGATTGGTGAAACCATCAGGTGGCAAAGCTCCAGCGCCGATGTACGTCTTGTAGGTGCCCTCAGCATCCTGGAGACACCCACATGAACCCACGAAATGGAACTACAAACAACGCATGATGCACATGATGTTGGTTGGCCTGTTTGGCGTCTTCGGCATTGCTACACATCTACCTCTGTGGCAGCTGACATTTCTAGATTAGCTGCTTGCAAACACATCTTCAACAGGTCCTTGGCGGGCTTGAGGTTCAAGACCCAAGTGGCTGCCCACGTCACGGCTCCCAGGATTACGAAAAGCCACACTTGGAAGCTGATGCCAAAGAAGGTGTCAGACTGCAGAGCGTTCAAGCTAATGAAATGTCAACCATGCAAGGCTGCCAAGCCCGCCTCTTCTCCAAGCTTTCCCTGACGAGTTGCGCCCTTGGCAGTTCATGCTTGCTTTCGATTGGTGGCTGCAAAAAACATGAGTTCCAGACAATGTCTTCCAGTGGGATATCCTCAAGAGGAGGCAGCTTGGCATAGGCGGCCTCACAGGTCAACCTTTAACATCTTGAACTACCAATCTTCCACTACTTGCTGAGTTAGTGTGCTTGCAGATTGCTTTGCATTGAGCCAGCCTCAATCGGCGCGGCCAAGGCTGCTAGTCCAGCAGCCAGGGGTGCAGCTGGAATTTCTGTCAGCAAAATACTTGTGAACAATGGACTGAGCTGTTAGCTTCAAGGGCCCAAGGGTCTTGATGCAGCTACTTCAAAAGGCACCCGCGCAAAAATAACAAGAGAAGCTCGCCTCGCTTGGGAGGCGCAACGAAGCAAGGCACGGTCACCAAAGCCGCCAGCAACGCAGGCAACAGGCGGAGCTGTCAGACACACTGAGACATCTCTAGCGAAGAACAAGACGCAAGTTGAAAATGGCCAAAACTAGAGAAGCCAAAGCCAAAGGCTGAATTTTGTCACTACTTTTTGCAATCGTCTCATCAATCACGTTCATCCCATTCAGCTTTGAAGGCCTTGCGAATTGGCTGAGCCATAATCCACACCTGAGCTGAGTAACAATCCAGCTGACGTCCAAATACCTCGAAGATCTTAGCCCGAGGCAACACCCCCACCAACGGTTTGCGACTGCTTTCTTTGAGCCCAGAACTCTGCGCCCGGATCAAAATTATAAAGACAGCACTAATTTAGGAGTTGCAAATTCACAAAACACATCCTAGCAAGCTAAAGTCCTGGGCCAAGACATCTATGCTTCGTGGGGCCAAACTTGCGCGGCAAAGCTGCCAAGCTTTCTGATGGTGCGATTGGAAAGGCCCGCTATCATGTCTTTCTGAGACTGTCAAATGGATAATGAAAACCGGCTCGACGCTGGGGCCGAGGTGTCTCAAGGCACACGATGGCTACCGCAGTTGCAGCAACCGAATTTGCCCGGGTTGCATTTCTCTTGACTTGTGATGGAGCTTTGAAACTTTCTTCCTCCGAGCGCAATACAAAGCCAGCCGATCAGGCTTTCTAAAGGACCTTACTGGCCACATCATTGGTCGTCTTGGAACATCTGACTGCTGTGTTTTCTTCGTCGCTTTAGATCCAGAAAGTTAGCTTGGCTCGACTTGGGATAGCCACGCCTTTGCAACCGATTTGTCCACAAAATCAAATTGCCAGTCAAGAACAGTCCATGTCAGAAACTGTGTGCACATCTGAAGCTTCAACCGAGTCTGATCAGTCTGATCAGAATGGCCGTGACGTCATCACATGAAGTCCGAATCAATAAACTCACAAATCCCATCACTACCCAACAGCATAAATGGCTTACGTGCAAGCGCTACCTCCGTTGGTGCTTTGCAATGAGGTCGCCCAATGTTCGTGAGTTGCATATTCCTGGAAAGTCCTTGCAGTTCATAGATCTCAGAACGTACTTCTCCACCAGCTGTTTGTATGCGTGCCTGCTCTGCTATCACATCAGGCTTGTGATCCTGAGTTGCAAAAACTAGAGCACCCATGCGCTCCAATCCAATCGCACACCTGCAATCCCCACAATGGGCGATGTAGACAGTGGTGCCTTGTAAGGAGCAAAAGCTATGGCTGCTACGCTGGCCTCACACTCCCATCCAAACTTTTCAGAAATCCTTCAGCTAGACCGAGGGCAGCTTCTAAAGCTGCGGGAAATGCTGCCTTCTCACACAACTGAAGGTGTTGAGCCACCGTATGCGCTAAGCTTTGAACAAGCCTTCCTGAAACTAGATTGTCGTGAACACCACTCAGTGTCCCTTCCGAACCACCCTAGAATATGCACAATCTGTTAAAGTCTGCAATTGGGGCCGCCTTCTCGAAAGCTCAAGCTTGCTGACTGTATCTTCTTGGAAGAGGACAAGGAATATTTGTCGGGCAAATTGTGTCCACATGACCTCTTTACAACGGGGCAAGCTGCTTACTTTTGATTTGCTTGAGGTTTCTGCAGTGAAACAAGCACATGGGCATATACACCGCCACGTGGCTTCGCCAGGGGCATTTCTCGTCTAGCACTGGTGCACACCACAAATATTGACTTCAAAGCTTGGCAAGCGACACCCAAAAATGAATTGGCATGAACCATCGGTATTACACCATCACGTGCACACTGATCAAAATGGCTACCAATTAAAACAGTCGGCCCGCCCTATCTGGACATTCACCAGGCATGGCTCCTGTCAAACTTGAAGTCTCTCTCGCTCTCTTTGCAGAGTCTAGCTGTCTCACAGCTGTCCCACACCGAGACGACGGATGGATGGCCCGAGAGCGTTTAGGTGTCGACTTACTCTGGTGCAAGGTATGCGTGCATTACGATGAAACAAAAAAGTAAAGAGAGTTGTGAGATGGTGAAAGAGAGAGAGAGAGAGAGAGAAAAAGAGAGAAAGAGAGAGAGAGAGGGAGAGAGTGGAGTGAAGGAGAGGGTGGGAACAGGATGAGATGAAAAGGACGTTCGCAGGAGGATGGAAGCAAAGATGTCTTCCAGTCGGTATTCATGCAGGCTTGCATGCGTTGTTGCACTAAAGTGTGCGGATCCAGGCCCTGCCCTAAAGATGTCTCGCAGTCGAGGTTAGAAGAGGTTTGTGTGCGTTTTTGCAGTGAAATGTAGGCATTCAGGCTCTGCCCCAAAGATGTGTCCGGGGCGATGTTTAAGCAGTTTTATAGTAAAATGCTTGGGCTCAGTTCCTGCCCCAAAGATGTCTCCAAGGCAATGTGTATGCAGGTTTGCATGCGTTTTTGCAAATGTACGGATCCAGATCCTGGCCCCATGATGTCTTCAAGGTGATGTCTATGCGGGCTAGCCGGCCTAAGAAAAAAGGGAAAAAAGAAGGAGAGAGAGAGAGAGGGAGAGATAATTGAGAGAATGTGAGAGAATGTGAGAGGGAGAGAGGGAAAATGTGAGAGAGAGGGGGAGAATGTGAGAGAGAGAGAGGGAAACGGAAAGAAAGAAAGAAAGAAAAAAAGAAAGAAAGAACAAAATAAAGAAAGAAAGAAAGAAAGGAAGGAAGGGAGAAAGGTAGAAAGGAAGGAAGGAAGAAAGGAAGAAAGGAAGGAAGGCAGGAAGCAAGGAAGAAAGGAAGAGAAGGAAAGGAAAGGAAAGGAAAGGAAAGGAAGGGAAAGGAAAGGAAAGAAAAGGGAAGGAAAGGAAAGAAAAGAAAAGAAAAGGGAAGGAAAGAGAAGGGAAGGAAGAAAGGAAAGGAAAGAAAAGGGAAGGAAGAAAGGAAAGGAAAGAAAAGGGAAGGAAAACGGATGTAAGTTGTGATGATATGTAGTATGTAGTGTACCTGCTCTTTTTGGAACCATTCGCTCAGGCACTCTCGGGAAAACCCATGAAAAGCCACGAGAAAAGCAGAAACACGCCGGCGAGACGTGCTCTGTTCAGCTCTTCGCGGGGCGTTGTGACTGCATGCCTCGATTGCGGAAATGGAGGCCCCAACTGTGCCTTTCATTCAATAACGGGTATTCAAAACGATGATTTCCAGATCAGAAGTGCTCAGGTCAGGGCTGTGGGGCATGATCCTTTAGCCAGCTGTTTTTCATCTGGCAGAGTGGATAGGTCGGATAGGCTGAATCAACTCAGCATGTTCCATTGTTGATCCGTTGGCGCTGTAGCTGGGCTACAGCTGCCCCCGGCAGCTGAGAATATGCTTGATGGCCAACCGACAGTAGAATAATGCTTGAATTGCATAGCTGATGGCAAACCCACCATCAAGGAACACAAATCTGCCTAGTCTTCCTAGGTGTGTTAGGCCAGCTTCAGTCATCTTATCTGCAGAAAGCACTGCATGTAACAGCAAACTTAAGTAAGGATTTGGCTGCTTGTCGTGGAGTTGCCCGATGCTCTTCAGAGGTCATGATCCTTAGAGGTCATGCACTTCAAATCTCCCTATGAAGGTCACCAGGGTGGCTTGTGCAGTCTGGCTGCAGCATATCCAGCAACTTGTGGGCGTGTTGGGATATATGATCACCTCGTTCCTGGATTGGCAAGTTCAGCAGGCACCTCGACCTTTTTTTTGTGGGTCGTTAATTTTTGCTGCATGCTACCTGACAGTCAAGGTTTCTCAGTGTGCATGATTTTAGTTTCACCAAAACAAATGGTCCTGGAGGCTGTGCAACTTGCCTTTTGTCAAAGCTCTCCTTGATTCGCAAAGGTGTGCTGAAGCTTTGAGCTGTCCGGTCTCGAATCATAAGCCGATCAAGTCAAGACACCTGAAGTCATCGCTACGCATGTTCTGGAATTCCGCCAATGCCTTTGCCCTCCGAGGATATCCTGACAAAATGGAAGGCTATGATACTGGAGCACAAAGGTCGAAACGTGGCTTACAGTATGTGAGTTGTCTCGGAATACGGCAACAGCCCGACATGACCAAGTTACCTGTGAGCAGCAAATACATGACCACCCCACCTCAGCACACTCGAGACTCAACGCATCAAAGATTTGAAATGGTACCATGCTTCAAGTGCTCATGTTTGCAAGACCGGACTTGGGATGTCTCCTGCTTGCACTTTGTTAGCTAAAGTCTGAAAATGTCTACTCTTGCACGCGGCGGCCTTGCCATGCATTATGATGGCTTCAACTGACGCACATCGTGACCTTCTGATCCTTTGAGGCTCTGTTTCCCAAGTCTTTATGGCTGTAGCAAGAACATTCCCATTGATTTCACCCTCGAACAAGTAAGACTGCAGAATGTCACGTGACATGGGTACCAATTCGGAACTGCAGTACAGATTACAGTTTGTGTCAAGGAGCAGGACCAAACGTCAACTCCCTCAGAGTACCTGGGTAGCGATAGGGCACTGTGAAAACGCTACATGTTCTACGATACCAGCCTGTTTTCCTGTGGAAAGTGTCTACTTGCAAGAAACAGCATGGCACTGAACTAAACAGAAAAAAGTCTCCCGAAATCCGTTGTGATTTTGCACCTCGGTCTCACCTTACGTATTCATGCTGCATATCGACCACAAAGCTCATGTTAGAATTGTCGGGTGGTTTGTGACATGATCTGCCTTCCTTAAGCCACAAAGACATACGCACCCTTCTCATTCTGTGGCACCAAAGACATCCAGCCCCGAATTTGCGGTGATGCAGAACGCTGCAAAGCTGCAGGCCCTCGTGCACTTGTGGCGAAGCATAATATGGAGTTGTAACCTTTTCCGTCATTGACTCCTCGGCGTAGCATGGACAGTCAATCGCACTGGGCCCTCACAACATGACACTAAATCACAAGCTGCAGCGGAGATACTCCCGGAGTGAAAAGGCATGTCGTTGCAAAGTCACACCTGGGCTCCACATTTGCTTTTCGATTGTTGATGAGTCACCGTGTGAACCATGCAGTCAGGAGGCAACAGAATATCTGCTGAGTGTGCTGGTGCCCGCTCCTTGCAAGGCATCTCACCAGATTTGTTCTGCTCAGCCGCTTGTCCCACTGTGCCTTGATGAGAATGTGCTCTGGTTTGATGTCTCGGTGGCACAAGTGCCTAGCAATGCTGGAAGAATCACAAATGCGCGCGCGCGCGTGCTCTCTCTCTCTCTCTCTGCAGTGTCTGAGATGCTGCCTTCACATCTTTAACTGGATGTGGTTCATCACATCACATCGATGGCATTAGATCGTCTGCACGCACATAAAGCTGAATGGGACGGCCATGCTTTTCTCTTCATCGCATTCTTTGGCTCTTTGGCCACAATACATCTAGCAAATCAGTGGCTACACTCAGCACCAGCTTCAGAACTGCAAAAAGCAGCTGAAGATAGAATTCGGGTGTATACCGACAAGGACAAACAAATTCTGACATCATTGCCTTGTTGCAGGTTCCAGCCGAATTCGAGGGTGACGAAGTCTTCCAGCCGTTCAACTCCACAAAACCGAATGTGCGAAGGCCCAATCAAAACGCTGTTCTGGCATCAGGCTCTCAAACTTTAAAAGCCACGTGCTCAATTCGTTCCGGAACATACTAGAAATGCTAAGGTGGAATACTCTTAAAAACGTCACTCAAACTCTGTGCCTCTGGCACTGGTCCAAGTTTGGCGAAATGCAAGCGATGCAAGTACTTTCAGCACGATGTTCGCCTCTATGCCTCTTCTGCACCCCTCTCATTGTGCTTCCAAAGGGAAAAGAACACATTCCTGCTGTGTCCGTGAACGTGCACCAGCAAAGAACAAGCCAGGCTGCCTGCTTGCGCCATCCTCAGTTCCGCTCAAAATAGCCTCCGGTTAACCTGCTCCCACACCTGGTTGGAAAGAGACACCTCTGTGCTCTTTCAAACCTGCTCTTCAACCTGCTTGGGCCCCTGAGACTTCTTGCATCGGAACTAGAACAAATCTGAGGAGATGTGCTAGGTCTGGAGCAGGTTCCATATGACAGTTCCTAACCACATAAGGGTTTTCCACTTCATCTGATTAAATGATTCAATGAGTGATATGACAAAGAAAGTTTGTAAAGTACAGCAGCATGACAAAAATGCCAATGAGACGTTACTCGTTAGACAAGTGACATAGATGCAGTGATGGCACCTCCATAGCGGATGACTGTCTTTTGCAAATCTTTGAAGCGTGGAAGGTGCCCCTGCCCAGTAACCAGAAGTTGCAAGATTTCTTGCCACCGGCCACCCTTCGCAAGCGCGGTGATGGCAGCATTGACAGTCACGTGGCTTGGGCAGAGCTGAAGGAATTGCATTTGCTTGCACAGGCCAAGAGCTAGCTGCCACTGCTCTCCTTTTCCACACGAGCTGATGACAGCATTAAAGGTGATTGGATTCGGATGGCCCATCTTGTCCTGAAACTCCTGTAGAAAAGGCAAAGCATTCTCCCATCTAGAGCCGGTCTCACACGCACTAATGGCGCACCCATACGTGACAATGGTACTCTGCAATAAGCAATCACGCGTCTGCTGTAGTATGGGCAAGGCTTCCTCCCATTGATCGCTCTTTTCGCAAGCACTCATGGCAGAATTCAGTGTGATCAAGGTTGCTTCAAGGTCTTTTAGCCGCAGCCTTTCCAGAAGTGGTGGTACCTGTTCCCAGCGCACCCCTTCACTGGATGTGATCTCTGCGTTGTACGAAATCACATCCGTTTGCACACTCTGTGCCTGAACTGCTCTACGGGCTTGGACGGGCAAAAGTAAAATTTCCCTAGGCAGGAAGAAAGGGTAAGTACTAGACTGATTCGGACCAGGCCTGAACATCTTCCAGCAGCTGTATGCCCCAGCCCCACTCACTTATGCCAAATGTGCTAAGGGCAGAGTTGTAGCTGACAATATCGGGCCGCAACTCCAACTTCAAAGCCTGCAACAAAGCGCTCGTTGCCCGCTAGTGAAGTGCTCTTCAGGTGTTTTTGTGGCGTTCTGTTTTCCCACGTGGAACCCCGTGCTGTAATCAATAAGCGGCATCTGTGTTAGCGTTGTAAGTCCCAAATTTTCACATTCAACAAACAACGCTAAGCACGACCTACACGCAGTGCAAATAAACCAATCAAGCTTCCAATCCATCCGACTGAAACGAACCATAGCACTGAAACACGCCTGCAACAAAAGCATGGCTTGCCTCCACTGTCTACCTCAGTTTCCCCTTCTCATACGTGAGGTGCAACGATCGGGCCGGACACTTTGAAAGAAAAGGCTTAAAGTACTTTCGTTTGTTGAATATGTCATTACACATCTGTATATACATGTTCACTCACATTGTTGCGAAAAGGCAATATATAGTCTAATTGAAAATGTGTAACTATACATGCATCAAAGGCAGGCGTCCCACCAGGGGCGACCTCAGGCAAAGGTACCACTACGGTGGTCGAATGATGATACGTCGGTCTTCCCATGGGCCGATCTCATGGCAAGTTGTGCATTTTCACTCCTCCAAATAACCAAGCAGAAAATTGCACTTCCCAAAAAGGGCGGGGGCTGGCCTTCCCGGGATAATTCACCGAGTATGTGGACCACGCCGGACAAAAATTGATCGCATCGGAGCTCTTCGACCATGGCTGACTTTACTCCACACGCGGCGATCCGTTGAAGGTAGTCCTGCATGTCTTTTTGAGGACTTTGTTTCCTCCATCGTGGCTTCATACGTCAACTCACAACACTTTGCAACCTTCGGCGATTTGCAAATCGTGTTTCCCAGTCAGTGATGCTGCGCACTCCTTGCGGCGGTACTGGAGTTGGAGAACGGTAGCCAGCCTTCGGCGGTCCATTCGATGGAGGCGTTGGAGATTGATCATTTGCTGAGGAGTGACGCATCTCTTGACGCAAAGCAACCAGCTCAAACCGGTAAATTTGTGGGGGGCGCCACACTTGAGGGCGTGAGGACGGCTTCCGAAGTTGAGGCAGTGTCCTCTTGGATCATCGACTCAAGTTCACCCAAGCTTTGAGCAACTGTCGAACTTCCTCTCTGGAACGGTGTGGGGCCGACATTGGATTGCAGGAGTCTTAGCTGGATGCAAAACACTTGATAATTGGCTGAAATTCAAAAATATATGTACATACCAAACACATTGCATAGCCCCGTCAATGTTCACACTCATATGCCAACCCCACACGGTCATACAATTACACCGCAAGGTGAATGGGACTCACTGCGTGAAAAGAATCAACGGAAGCAAGCGCACAAACTCCCACACACCAGCATGGAAAAGCAGAAGCGGCAAAAACGAAAAACTCGCAACAGTAACTGTCAGCAGCTATTTGCACGAGTCATCCCTGCAGACTCTCATTCTCAGGTTCGATGTCATGGTGACTGCGTCGCATTCCGCAGCTTCTCTTTCCATGGAATCGGCCAAGAAAGAACAAAAAGTATCTGTCTTGGCGATAGGCCGTGAAGATCCAGCCTCTTGCGCACTCGAGACTAGTGAATTGACGTCGAGGAGAAATAGGCCGCTGCTGGTCAACTGCAGACAGAGGCACCGGTTTGGTGAGCATTGGACTCTGCAGCTGCTTGGTGCCAGTAACAGGAGTTCCACCTCAAACAACGCCTATTTTCAGCCACACTCGACCAATGGGAATGACTAAGGCATGGTTGCGTTGCAAGGTTACTCCCAAAGCGGGACACCACTTGGCAGGCACGGCGTTTCACCTTTTGTCTGACTGCTGGGCTCGGCTCAGGCTAGACATGTCCGGTCGTTCTCCACTGCCAGCTGATGACCATGGTGTTTCTCCACGATCCTCTTGGTCATCCTCTGGCCATGATGCTGGTTCTCCATTGAGGAGTGGGTACTGGCTGACCGGGACCTCAAGAGTTGCAGACAAAGTTGTCCTTGATCAAGCCTGGTGCAACGAACGTGAGAATCGATCTTAAGGTGTGTCTTTGTAGTTGGCCAAACTCTCACGCTGCTCCCACTCATCACTTCCATCCTTAGTCTTTGCCAATGTCAATCGTCCACACCGTTCATCTCCAAAGCTCGAGCTGGGATCGTGGAAGTGGGTTGCCATCGGTTTCCAATGGACCACAATACTATTCGGAAGTGCATCCAAGGATCTTCTCAAGCAATCCCAACTCACGAGAAATGAAGCCATCACGTACTGGTCAGACCTTCACCTCCTTGAGCTTGAACCGCCACTTCTCCCATCGAGCCAGCTTGCCCTTCACCTTGCCATCCTCGCTACTGCTGCTATGTCTCCAGACTCCTGGGTTGTGTAGCCTGGGCGGTCTTTCTCTTCTTTCTTACCTGGTTCTCCTTCTTCTGACAATTGCTGCATCAATTCGAGGGTCACGTCATCATCACTGTCACCTCTCTCACATGCCTCTGGGCTGCTTCTTCTGCCATCACCTCGTCGGGTGGCTGCGGATCATCACCACCTCGACCAGCAGTTGAGCTTGCGTCGTTCACTGCATCAACTTGTAGTTCATCTTCTGCATCACCTTCACACGCTCGAACAGCACAAATCTTCACATCCATGACAAGTGAGTTTCTCTCAAGACGCGCAGGGATCTTCGCAGTCTTCTCCGGGCGCTCAAGGAAAAGACCATGATCATCCTTGGATAGTCCCCAGCCTTGCTTCAGGAGACGTCCAAAACTCAAAAGTGGATGAGTCACTCCAACTCCCAACGCAAACTGCTCAATGAATTCGATCACATCACCTTCACGGGCAGTCGTAGACGACGATTGCCGCTGCTGTGAACCGTTTGACCCTGGGCTTCCACCATCTGAACTGTTCTTCCTCCTCTTGGAAGTCCAAGATTGTAGAACCTCTCAGCAGCTACTGGTACATCAGCTCCGGAGTCAAGCGTTATGATGACGGAGGGAGGTTCAAGGGCTACCACATTCTTGATCACGCAGATCTCCATGGGCTCATCTGTCTTCTCCACATGTTCAGCATATTGGGCATCTGAGGTCATAGCACCTGTCTTCCCATCAGATGAAGTCTGGGCTCATCATCTTCCTCTCCAGTGCAGCACTCGAAGAAGATCTCCTCATCATCGGCCACCTCATAGGTCTCGACAATCTCAGTCACTGCATAGACGGTCAGCCTGACGCCCTCATCGTTGGACTCTGTCTCCTGTTGCTCCTCTGGGGAGTCATCCTGAGTGAGATCAAAAATCTCCATAGCAGCCAGTCCTGTTGGCGTGATGAGTCGAACTCGCCTGACTCCCGCAGTCGTTGAACGTCCTCCGGTGTGGGCTCAGCTGCCAGTTGACGCCCCAGTCTGGCCATCCTTCACGGTTGTAGTGGCTGACCCCTTTGCTTCTTGTCCATCTTCTTCAACTCTTCTCACCTTCTTGCCTTCTTGCGCCAACAATCCTTGGCATAATGGCCTGGTTTGCCACAGTTGTGACATGTGGTTACGCTCTTTCCTTTCTTTCCTTCACTCTTGCTGAAGGACTTTCCTCCTTTGCCCTTCTTGCCTTCATCTTTGGACCAGGTGCCTTTTCCTTTCTGCTGCTTGCCCTTATCTTTGCCTTTCTTCTCTCCTTTCTTGCCTCCTTTCTTTTCTCCATTTTTCGACCAAACCGCATCCACCTCCATGGGTCCGCCATTGTCTTCCATCTCAGCCATGGGCCTCACTGACAGCTGCAAACCATTCCAAACCACCTTCTGACATCCATCGTTGGCTGACTTGTTCATAGAGCTCGGTCTTCTGTCTCAAGTCCTCGAAGGTGGTGTCATCCTGCAATGCCATCTGGATGTGGACCCTGAGGCTAGGAGGTAGGGCAGCAACTACTGATGCTATCTTCAGATCATCCGGGTATGTGTGGGAGTTGCTCGGTCACGGACTTGGTGGCATCAAACTGGATCTTGTTGAAAGCCTGAACCAATGCCAAACTTCTTTGACGAGTCCTGGGTTGAAGATCCTTGGTCAGGTTCCTCCAGGCTTCAAGACCATTCTGGTTGGTCACACTGTCACTCGCCTAAGGGGCCTCTGCCTCATCAAGCCGGTGAGGAGTGAGTAGGGCCTTTCTGACTGAGCTTGGACCTGGGGAAGACCGTCGTTGATGGGACTCTCTTCACGTTCAGCCTGCTTCAAGTGATTGCTGAGTGACTAAACCTGTGTAGGCAGCCTTCGGACAAGTCCACAGCGGACTCAATTCGCCAGCCAGCTTGGCAAGGCTCCATTACAAAACCCATTTGAGGTCTGTCGGAGCCTTAGGGCACACAGCGTGCACAATGTAAAATACCTAGGTTTCGTTAGTTTCCGGCCCCTCCATTTGGTTCCCCTTTCACCCCCTCCCCTTCACACACACACACACTTTTTCTCTTTTGTGGTTCATGTCTTCTCCGCCTTCATGTCCCGTCATCTCACTCCGTTCTCTTTTTTGCGCGCACAACGGTCCGGCCCTTTGCATGTACGTGCGCAACTACCTCAGGCTTCAGGCCACCCAGGTCTTGATAGTGAGGTGTGGCTCGCTGGTTGTCCCTGTGCACTTGGTTTCCCCTTCATCGCAGCCACACACACTGGTCTTGTCTTGTCTCCTTTTCATGTCGTCTTTTTGTCTTCTTTGCGCGCACGCATGTGCATTTGTCCGCCCCCTAGTTTTGGGCCCCCCACGCGGGGGGCGTGTGTGTGTGTGTGAAGCCTATGAGGTCACAGGGAATCTTGATATTTTATGGCAGGGGAGTGCGGCATGATGGTGGGACCGCACTCAATGAAGCTACCGCAATCATGGGATACCGAGTCTGATCAACTCGCCGTACCTGTAGTCTTACCGGAGAACTTCCTAATTGGTCCCATGGGTAACTAGAACAAAATGACCAGCCGTTGCATCCGTTCCATCACTGCAGTCATGCACCTTTGACTTTGCGACTGGCGCCTGAACTTTAGAACTTTGGTGTCCTGCTTTACCCAGGCAATCTTTTCACTTAGGTTTCTTCAGGGCTTGAGGCGATCAGTTCAGTACGCAATATCTCTGTGTGTTTCTGCCAGGACTCTTCTTTGACATGCGCGCAGGTCCACATTGCAGGTGACAACGTCGCACCGAAGAGCTCTCTGGCGAAGGGCGGCCAACAGTTGCACCGCATCATCCCAGGATCTGGCATGCATCTTGGCTCGCAGCCTTGTGCTCGTGCTTCAACTTTTCCAGAATTCAGAATGCGCTCCTCTCCGAGCACTGGTTCCCTCCCATCGCGCATGTGGTGCCACTGCATCATCGGTCTTTCAGGCTTTGCGGCGCCTGCTCAAGTTCTCTGCAACCTAAGAATCCGGATTCTGCACTTGGCCATGACCATTCATAGCTACCCCCTCCAGCTTTGAGATTGTCCGCTGCGCTTGTCGTTGTCTCTGAAAATTGCATTGTCCGCCAAAGCATGAGAGCAAAATATTTCTTCGCATGTCCCCTGTTGCAAGTTGAGGACAGAGAGTATAGTAAACAGGGAACGTCTGAGAACCTTTTCCCATCTCTCCCCAACCTCTCACCCAAGGCTTGTTGAGCACACTTTTCTTGAGAGGCAGCAGATTCTACAGGTTTGATTCTGTTTTCAGGTCTTAGCTCCGGTGTTTAATTTTGAAGTCTACCTTTCAACAGGATCAAACCTCCAAACGGAACTGCCAAACTTCACGAAGAAAGACTGTATTGATCTCTTCCTGAAGCATGTGCAACAGCTGAATGAAAATTGCGCAGGCATCAAAGCGTTGATGTCGCCATTGCAACAAGACTAGAAATACAGGAATATGATCTACAGCATCAAATCTGATATGATGCTTCGAAACCTGCAAAGGTGTTGCTGTGCAGAAAACTGAAGGACTGGCAGGTGTGAAACCCTGCTGAGTTCCTGTGTCTTTAAACGACAGGCCGGCAGCAGCCGAGGGCACAGGGAGCTTCAGTAAAGCTGCCATAGCTTGCTCCCAAGTAGAGCTGCCCAGATTCAAAGGATGGCTTGCTGACGCAAGCTCCTGGGCTCAGGAATTGGAGCTTTACAAACGAACAAATTTGATCACTGTGCACATCCACGCACTAGAAAGAACACGAGAAAATCACGCTGACACCTCGCCAAGTCTCAAACGATGGCTGAACTGGCAGCCTTCTGCCCCTTGGGTGCCCCAGGCCTCAGGTCATCGCTGTAAAGATCATCATCTTCATCCTGCGCAGGATTTAACTTCCAGAGTTGGACCCAAGTTTTGCAAGGCACTTCGGCACTCAGTCGGTCCGTGAGCTCTTCTTGCACTCGCGGGTCAGCAGGATTGGTGAAACCATCAGGTGGCAAAGCTCCAGCGCCGATGTACGTCTTGTAGGTGCCCTCAGCATCCTGGAGACACCCACATGAACCACATGAAATGGAACTACAAACAACGCATGATGCACATGATGTTGATTGGCCTGTTTGGCTTCTTCGGCATTGCTATACATCTATGTCTGTGGCAGCTGACATTTCTAGATTAGCTGCTTGCAAACACATCTTCAACAGGTCCTTGGCGGGCTTGAGGTTCAAGACCCAAGTGGCTGCCCACGTCACGGCTCCCAGGATTACGAAAAGCCACACTTGGAAGCTGATGCCAAAGAAGGTGTCAGACTGCAGAGCATTCAAGCAAATGAAATGTCAACCATGCAAGGCAGCCAAGCTCGCCTCTTCTCCAAGCTTTCCCTGACGAGTTGCGCCCTTGGCAGTTCATGCTTGCTTTCGATTGGTGGCTGCAAAAAACATGAGTTCCAAACAATGTCTTCCAGTGGGATATCCTCAAGAGGAGGCAGCTTGGCATAGGCGGCCTCACAGGTCAACCTTTAACATCTTGAACTACCAATCTTCCACTACTTGCTGAGTTAGTGTGCTTGCAGATTGCTTTGCATTGAGCCAGCCTCAATCGGCGCGGCCAAGGCTGCTAGTCCAGCAGCCAGGGGTGCAGCTGGAATTTCTGTCAGCAAAATACTTGTGAACAATGGACTGAGCTGTTAGCTTCAAGGGCCCAAGGGTCTTGATGCAGCTACTTCAAAAGGCACCCGCGCAAAAATAACAAGAGAAACTCGCCTCGCTTGGGAGGCGCAACGAAGCAAGGCACGGTCACCAAAGCCGCCAGCAACGCAGGCAACAGGCGGATCTGTCAGACACACTGAGAAATCTCTAGCTAAGACCAAGACGCAAGTTGAAAACGGCCAAAAATAGAGAAGCCAAAGCCAAAGGCTGAATTTTGTCACTACTTGTTGCAATCGTCTCACCAATCACGTTCATCCCATTCAGCTTTGAAGGCCTTGCGAATTGGCTGAGCCATAATCCACACCTGAGCTGAGTAACAATCCAGCTGACGTCCAAATACCTCAAATACCTGAAGATCTTAGCCCGAGGCAACACCCCCACCAACGATTTGCGACTGCTTTCTTTGAGCCCAGAACTCTACAAACAAGATCGCAAAACCTTCTTCAAAAATCAGTCGCCAAAGCATTGCACATGACAAGAATACTGTATGCATGTCCTGCGAGCGATGTGGCAAAAATCAACTAGATCGGCTGCGGCCTGTCATGCATGTGTTGAACAGCGCTGAGGAGCTGCAACCTGGGGGTGGTATTGCTCAAAAAGGTTGAACTCTGCGTCTCATTTAGTTGCCCCAGTCCACCTAAAAAAGCAAAGGGGCGAAGGGATGCCCTTTCAAAGTGCGGTCACGCAACACCATATTTGCAGTTTCTTGTTCGGTGTGGTGCTCCGCATCCAGAATTGCATCGTAAAGCCTTGTACAGGCAAGCATTGAGCTTCTGTCCTGCCCTTCTCATTGTTGGCCCTGCCTCCCTCCAGTGGCATACTCCAGAATCTCCTTTGTTTGTTCCCACAAGGCTACAAAATGGTTGAATAAAGGAACTTCCACATCGGCGTTGAGAGACAACATTTCCCACACACGTACACTATACCAATGCGAAGACATGAAAGCATGGTTTCGAGCAATCACATGCAAAAGCACAAGCACTACCAGAGACAAGGAGGGATGGAAAGGCACTGGAAGGCAGAAGCACTGCAACGATGGGTGGGGCAAAAGGCAAAAGCACTGCCTTAGACTTTCTAGGAGCCATAATAAGAGCCGAATATCTAACAGTACGTGTCATCCTTGAAAGCCACCAACACAACAATATAGGACATTCCTTTTGGAGCCCGAATTTTAGAACAATAGCAGATGTAACAGGTGGCCTAGCTTGTGGGCTTGTGGCCTTGGTAGCTCATGGCTGAGAGGAGACGGGTAGCACAGTGGTTGGCAGGTCTTCTAGTGGCCCTAAAGGTCTTTCAAACAAGAACGAAGGCCTAACTGTCACCAAACAATCCCAGATTTGTTTAGAACCCAGCGACCACATGGAGCAAGAGAGGAGAAGAAACAAAGTAAATAGAGGAAGAAGAACCAAATGAGAGAGAGAGAGAGAGAAAAAACAAAATGGCAGAGACCAGATGACCAGGACATGAATCCAGCAATCTAGCGATCTGGTGCGTGCGGCAGTGCGGCAAGTCTGCAGCTGTCACGGCCCTGGTGTTGAAGAAGCGTGCATTTTTTTCTCAGAGCATCAGTGAGTGAGACCGACCGTTTGCTCATAAAGCTAGTCATTTTATCATACTTACTCATTCATACCAATTCACCTTTCCAACCCTTTTCTTCAGTCTATTTATGCATTCACAGCTTCATCTGCAGGCGACACGGTTAGGAATTGGTCATTCACTTCTTGATGCAATTGTATGTCTCGATACATGTTTGAGTGGCATCATCGAATGTCCACACTCATGCGATCTTTGCAACATGACATTCCAGCATCAAGTGGGTGTGAAGTTTGCTGAATGGCATGGAATCAAAGGTGTACAGCTCATAACTGGCTGATCGCTGCCAAGGCACATAGAAATAACCATTATGTATGAAAGCTTCCTGAGCGCACAGGGCAGCAAGGTACACGACCAGTGGTGCAATCGCAAGCTGTCCTGCAACTTGATGATGTTTGGATGGGAGCAGCATGCATCAAGCATGATTGCCTCAGCGCCATACAACATTCAAGACCAAGCAACTCTATGAGGAAATCTGCCATCTGTATCAATTTCATGAAAGAACTGCCAACAATGTCACGCGGCCATCAATGTTGTTAGAACAAATTGCATGGATAAGTTCCGTGGAAGTAGCCAATAATACGCAAATCCGTATATAAGGAATCTCCAATTGCTGAGAGCTGTGAGGCTCGGCAAGCCTGTCTCTATTCCACATCCCTCGGCCAGCCTGTTGTTTTATGATGTCTGGAGAACGATCATGCTTGGAGCTGCGGTCCATCCTCCTCGGCACATGAAGTGTACCGAAAATGCTGAGATTCGCAAAGGGTCTTTCTGCTGAGAGTCCGCAGGTTATGCTGCTTGCATGCCATCAGTTTATCCTTGGTCTGTTGAAGCCAACGTGCTTCAACAAACAGAAAAACACATGATGTATGTCACACGTCTTTTCAAAGGTGAGGCTGTACTGTTTGTGGCCAGGGATCAGTGCGTTTGTCCGTGACCAGCCGAATCACCACCATTGTTCTCTTTGAGAGCATGTAATCTGAGAAGAAATACCTCAAAATGGGAGCAAGTGTCCTTCATATACTGGAAAGTCAAGCGGGTAAAATGCAAATTATATAACGGAACTGATCCTGCCAAGTTACAGCTGGGCCACGTCTGCATCATTCAACTGGGTGCGAACACAAGCGCTGCAAGAATGCAAAAGCGCTCTCTGGCAAGCACTGTAGAAAGCAAAGAATGTAAATGCGTTCAAAGGAACTATGCCAGTGAGGTTGATGTCCCTTGGCACAGCAATGCACTGCATTAAACGTAAGTGTTGAGAGATGGAGTCTAATCGGGCGCGTACTCACGGTGCAAACACTAGACTGCTAGACAGCAGGGTCAACCGAAAAAAATGCAACTGGACTACTGGGCAACAGGGCTCTAACGTAACCTCAGCCTAGATGCTCCAAACGACCTTCCAACGTGAGAGGCGCATCTGGATCCTTGGAACGATTCAAAACTTGCTGGATCCTTCCCAAGGTTTGCCGCTGAGGCGAGCTCCCTTTCTGCAATGAGTGTTTCCTGACTTGATTCATGATTTCTATAATCTATCTATATTGCATGTTTCCCAGAACAAGCTGGCGTGTTGGAATGATGAAAACGGAGGGACGTCACCCCTTGCCAACATGACAGTTTCAAAATGAATCTGGTGTGCGCAGTCTACCAGCCCTGTTCGCAGTGGCATCCGCCAACTGTGAAATACAGGCCTCTTCCACTGCATCCTCTTGTGACTTCCGCCGGAAAGAAAGCATTGATGAAATTGAACCAAGGGAAATCTCAGCGCACGCGCTGCAGCCATCAACGAACGTCGTGATTCAGAGTTTCCAAAACTTGTAGAAACTGCCAACACACGCGGGAATAGTGAGGTCCAGGCCCTCCGGAACAAAGACGATCCCTGCAATGTGGCGCGGGCAAACACTCAACAAACGCATTCAAAGACTGCTGGTGCCTTAGTGTTGGTTGTGGCAATGGTCTCTTTGGATCTCTGGCGTCCATCCTGATTAGCTGTTGGAACGAAGAAGAATGTTCTCTAAAGAATAACAAAACAATTACATCATTGCAACAACAACACCCGCAGATTTAAAGAGAACGTCCGCAAGTTGTTCCAACCGCTCCAGCATGGTAGTTGCTACAGGAGTTGTTTTCCGGCATCCTATCTGTTCATTGTATTACATAAACCTTGTGCTTTGTGTGATCGAAGAAACCACAAGTTTGGCGCACACGCCCTTTGCCTCTTCAACATTTTGGAAGCTGATTGATCGTTTGATACTCGCAGCACATCCCATCGGCCTGTGCGCGTACCAATCACAACAACCATCCCCAAGACCAAAGTGAAAACGAGCATCACTGTTGGCTACCTCGTCCGTCAAACCTCTGTCTAAATGGCCCGGCATTGCAAGCAACACCGCCCAGTTTTCTGGAACCAAAGCCACGACGCAAGTTCATCTTGCTGGTTTCAAATGCATTTTCAAGACGAAAGGGCCCCCTGCTGGAATCAATTTCAGCAATCATCCGGAAAAACTGATGTAAAATATCCCCTGACTGAGTGAGGCAGCCAGAAGCATTTCAGTGGCAACACAGTCAGCAACAAAAACACGAGGCAGGCAGGGTTGACAGTTTGGCATGAATGTGGAAACATGAGTGACCACATTGGGTGCGGCATAGGGTGCCAATGGGCCGGCGCCTGCTGCATGGCAGCCGTATAGCACCCACAAATTCCACAGAGACCGCGCACTTGCACCACCTCTGCGTTGCAACCGCCACGCGCAAGCGCCAAGTGTGGGAGCAAAACCAAAGTTTTGCCACCTCCGCCGCCGCCAACAACAACAACACGACTGTGCCACATACATTCCAATGACATAATTGCACGCGTTTTTAGATGGGGACACATCAACGACAAGAACTGTCTGGCACAAGCGAAACTTTCACAGCACTTCTGTGTCATTGATGTCGACAAGGCGAGGCTAAACGTTGAGCATCAGTATTGAGTGCATCTGCAAAATTTGTTTGACTGCAGGTTTCTGAGCACAAAGCAAGGCCATTCTATCAATTGTACCAGCATAGACCCCAAACAGTTTCAAAACGATTCGTTTGGACCATATCTTGGTACGCCCGACCCCCCCAAAGAGCAAACTGCTTTATCAATGATTTTTGTCGGCGTGGACATCGCCAATTTTTTGGCCACAAGAGAAGACAAGAGAAGAGCAGGACAACAGAACACAAGAGGAGGACAAGACCCGGTCACAGAGCCCGGCCACAGTTTTCAGGGTGGCGGCCAGTCAGTGTGTCCAGTGCCGGTCAGCGCGGCCAGGACACAAGAGAAGGACAAAAGGAGGACAACAGCAAGACAACAGAAGGACAAGAGGAGGACAAGACCCGGCCACAGAGCCCGGCCACAGAGTTCAAGTGCGCGGCCAGTCAGTGTGGCCAGCTCTCTTTTCTAAGATAGAACCCCAACAGTACACTGTTTAGAAAAATCTATGTTGAAACGATCTGCGCTAGATTCGGTCATGACGAAATTCAACGACGAATCTCTTACAGCAAGTGCAAAAACCCTAAGAATGTCCACAGTGCTGGCACACCCTTGCCCTCATAACGTCTATAATTTCATTTATATTTGCGCTTTCTGTTCCTACCTCGCTGCATCATTGCATCGAATTAAGCAATGGGCCCTTAAGACCCCGTTTTACCAGGAAACCATGGAGGAAAACAAGCCACGGGAGCACAAGCTCCTGGAGTATCAGAAGCGCGTTCTTGAACACATGCATGGGGAACCGCACCCAAGGAAGCCTAGAGCGGCTGGGGCCTGGTAAGCTGCAGCTTGCTCAAACTAGAACGAAACACCAATGCCCCCCAACACGTCCACTATGACACCGCTTTTGCCAGCTCCAAGGCGCAACGGTTTTAAAAGCAGGGTTTCTATCATTCTTGTTGTCCGGCGTGGATCTGAGCCGCGCAATCCAGGCGTAGTTTTCTCTGCAACCACTTGGCCGGTTGTCCAAAGAATGTTGCACACGCTGACGTTTGCGCTGCACCGTATGTTCTTCAAAGTCGCATGCCATACGTGCAACTTTTCATGTCTGAGCTTCTCTTGGTCTTCAGTGAAACTGCGAAGCTTTTCAGCTCTTGAGCACAAGCGGTCTGTGCGCGGTACTTCTTGATTTGTGCGCGCCATCGTTTGATGAACAGCTATGCTTTACATCCTGAGTCCTTGTCACGTTCTCAAGCACTCCTCCTTTGAACCTGTGAGTTTCAAGCTCGAGGCTCAACCTTCACTAGGGGTAAAAACCCTACATATGATGCACCGCCCCCTTCATCAAATCCATCATCTCAACCATTAGGCTTCTATTGCCGTTTCTATCCCGTGGAACCCATTTACCTCCATCTTCAAAAGCTCCTCTCCAGCTCGAAGGTCGGCTCTATTGTATGCTCAGTTGTAATGCTCGAGCTGAACCCTCAGGTTCCCAGGCCGCTGCAACAACTTCTGGGGCACTCCCCCTTCCATTGGATGATCCTAATGATCTTCGGCTTTCTGGTGTTTGCCATCGTGCTGTGGAACAAGATGCCGGCGTTGGAGAAGAAGGTAGTCTTCCTGCAGAATCGGGTTGGGATGGATGCACATGATCATCGAGAAGCTGTCGAACAACAGGACCGAGAAAATTCAATGGTGGCTGACTATGTGGAAATGTTGAAGATCCATCAGTGCAAATGCTGGAATGGCAAAGCTTACACTACATTGAGAAGGTGAATCGACGGCATGATGGGCTAAGGCTGAGGAAGAGATGCAAGAAGAGGGAAACTATCCAAGAAGAACGCGGAAAAAAACTTCCTGGATCTATTGTGGTCAACGTGAACGTGGACCCAGGAGAGCCAGGACTAAGTGGAGCAACGGCCATCATCGTTTTGATGGAGTGCAAACAGTTCAAGTGCCAGCTCAATATGTTGCACCGGCTGAACCTGAGGTACCAGAAGTACAAGGCTCTGCAACTGAGCCTGAGCCTACACCAAGTGACGAGGACATGGAAGCCGAGGTGCCTGGCTGCCTTCGGGACCTTGCCTTTCTCGATGTGGTTCTGCTCGAACTCCTGATGTTCTTGTTCGCCAACCCTACTTCCATCCCCATTCATGGTGCGGCAGCAAAACAACAGCAACCTCAGCCTCGACTTGGACAAGGGCTTGGTTCCAATGTCTGCAAGGTTGAACACCGCGCTGGTCTGCTGTGCCACTTGCCATTTTGTCTTGGCACCAAAGCAACTTGCCACTGACATGGCGGGTCCAGCACCTCGCTTGTTGGCAATCTGCCTGGTTGCAGAATTGTCCTCCCAGCAACTGTGGTGGACAGGGTCACCTGTGAGGAACTCCACAGCACGCTTGACGCAAATGCCATCACATGCTCCAGCAACAAGCGCACGCAGCGGAAAGGCTCACCACCTTTTACCCACGAGAGCTGCAGAATCGCTGCCGCCAAAAGGATTGGGCCTGGGAGCAAGCTCAGGCACCTCGAAGTGTGCGAGTTTTACGTACAAGGGGCAGTGCAGACAGGGCGACTTCAGCTCCGCAAAGTCAAGGGCACTATGAATCCTCCCAGCTACCTCACGAAACGTCCCAAGACCGGGTCAGAGGTGCAGGAGGCACTGCCCCATTTGGGCCTCGTCAATGTTCATGAGGTGGAAGGAGCAACTGCAGCCCGGAAGGGAACCGTGAAAGCTCTCAAGGAGAACCCCCCAGCTCAGTGGAACACAATGGCGCCAATGACAAATGCCAGCCTGAAACTGCACGGCGCCCTTGCTGCCAGTCAGATCACCGGGGTCAAAGGCCACAAACATGGTTCAGAAGGTTGTAGCTACTTACCTTGGATCTTAGGAATCATGGTGCTGCTCGGTTGTGTATTCTGGATATGCGTGTACAACGCCATCAGACTACGGCGCACGCAGGTTACACGAGAGCCTGCACCAGAACCAGAGCCAGACCATGG